TGCTCGGCCTGAGTAGATGTAGTACTAGTGTTCTGTTGCCTTGCTTGCCTCAACTCACGGGCTAAACCCTCTACCATCCTTTCCAATCTACGTAACCTGTCCTCAGAATGATCCTGTCTAATTGGAGGTCTTTCTCTTCTCATGATGCTAGGAGTATGCAAAATGTGACTCTTAAACAAGATGAACAAATAGACAAGTAGACGAGTAACAAATAAATATACCGAGATGATGCACACCTTGTCAAATAACAAGCAATATGATGCAATCCTGACGTCATTCTAAGGGAAATCCTATGCTCTTTAAGGCTAAAAGTGTGTGAATAACGTACTATAAGGAATTTGTGCGTTGATACCAATCTGTCACGAACCCATTTCGCCCCTAGTAGAATGGTGCTGTGATGGCCAGTAATCCAAGATTACCAAAGGCCAACTTACAAAGATTCACACAACAGAGTATACATAAGGGGCTTAAATATGCGAAATCAATAATTTTAAATCTAATTAACCCATCAGAGCTGTGCATTGATCAAATGAAATGACATACATTTTAGCATGGTTTTACAACTTGAATACAAATGAATTAAAATTAAGCGTTATATCTTGATCAAAAGGCTTCTCAAGCTGACATATACAAAAGAAATGAATTACAAACTAAGAAGCATAATCTTCAAGATACTAGCAAAACATGAATCCAAACAAAGTTTTGAACAACATCTTAGGCGCCACAGCCTTCTTGCTCATCACCTACATATATATAAAGAGGGTGAGCTTGGATACTCAATGAATGATACAAGTAATAAAGGTTTGAATGAATGATATCCGAGATCTTTATCAAAACAATACATATCATAGCTTGTAACAAAACATGGGATGAATCATGCTCATCAATCAAAGTCTTTCAAAAATTCTTAGGATGTTTAATAGCATCTACATATTACAAGGGATGAAATTCCTGACAAAACATAGGAATAACCGTCCCGGAATCGAAACACACCCGTTCATGACCGCCGGTGGCCGATCTGGAATTGGTTGGACAACCCACCCGAAAAACCGTTGGTCGAAAAACGTAACCAACCCGTACAAGACCGTCAGTGGTACCATCTATACATGACCGTCGACGGCAAAGAGATATCTCAAACAAAGGTGCAACGTAAGCTTAACGTCCCCTGGCACGAAAGGACCTTCCAAGAATGTCATCAAAACAAACATAATACTTGATACAAAAATTAGAGGATAATCATTCATGCTTGATCCAATACTTTTCCAAAACAAAGCAAAGAAAAGCTTTTATCAAAACATTATAACATAGCTTTATTAAAAATAACACTCACAATAGCTCTTCAGGCGTGGGGATTAAAGCAAGGATCCAAGGCCTACAAGTAGATAATGAATCCCATTGAATGCAGTTCAAGAAGACAAGAAGAGATGCTCAAAGATGGGTACGAATGGACTCTCAAAACAAGCTTTACATGGGTGAAAATGATTCTAGGATTTCTTTCCAAAACCAAGTCAAGACAAAGCAAAACATGTGCTCGAAGTTAAAACACTGTTTTTTCTTCTAGGGAAATGTACTGGGTACCAACCAGGTCTCAAAATGGATACACAGAGATGATCTAGGCCAAAATGACCTAGCTGGGTGAACTCAGGAAGTCTTGGCCAAGGTCCCACACCTCTTGGCCGAGGTATGAGATCTAGGCAAGAGTGGGTCTTAGTGACCACACTTGGGGAAAAAGTGAAGTCTGGAAATCTGGGTTTTCTCTTGAAGAACATGAAGAACATGGACATGAAATGCCAAAAATCATAACTTCTTATTCAAAATATGAGATTTCATGATGTGAGTTCAAAAACATGGACCTGGGTACCCACACTTGAAGATTTCATGAAAACAAACACAAAAACATGAAACTTGATACAAACTTTTGAATCAAAACATTGTTTTCTTTTAAGAACACAAGAACATTACTTTCTTTTTCTAAAACAAACTTTAAATCAATGCATGGCTCATGAATCATGCTAGATCAGACAATGTGATCATGTTAACATAAAGAACAATAAGAATAGATCTAGAATCTAACCTCAAAACACGAATCCAACTGTTCAAACTCTAAGGATCAATCTTGGAAATCTAACTCTCTCACTCTAAGAACTTCTCTTCCTCTTCCTAGAGCTTCTCTCTCTATAAGGCTAGGATATGATAAAATGATATGGGCTTCTCAGCTAGAACCTGACTTAACCCTTTGCTGGGACACGTGGCAACGTTTGGTTGGATCTCCTAAAAAATGTGCCAGAATGAAAAGACAAGCGCATGACAAAATGAGTATAACAAGTAAGGTGGTATGGGCACTCTAACAAGGCAATGATCTCGGATCAAGACACAGGCTTTGGGCAAGAAGGTTTCAATGATCTCGGCTAGGAAGGATAACACTTGACCTAGCTGTGCCACACCTCGGTCTAGGTCATACTAGTCCCGGAACAAGATCGCTAGGTGTAGGGATCAAGGATGTTGGATGCCTAGATGATAACATCTCGGCCTAGATGATACACATCTCGGCCAATATGCCTAGGTGATGGGGGAGGTCAACCAAGGTGGTTCCAAGATGGTCCTAGGTGTTGGCGCACAATGGCCTAGGTGTAAGAGGTTCAAAGATGTGACCTAGGCTCTAGACCGCACGGTTAGATGACCTAGGATTAACACACCAAGCAAGGAACAATGCATGCCTTTAACACTTAAGCAAAACACATAAGCAAAAAACAAGACAGGGATCTTCACTTAGGCAAAATAGGTCAAAGTCTACAAATGCAAGCTTAACAAGACAAAATCATGCAAATGCAAATGAACGTGACTAAGACAAGGATGAGGGTTATTACAGAAAACATGTTGACACCCTCAATACTGGCCTCAACACAACATGGGTTCTTCCACATGACAGAACCATGTTCCAACGAGGGAAAAATATGAGCACATGCCAAACTAAGCTTACCATGGAAAGGATGCAGGTAATAAAATGGTATGATATAATGGATGTAATGGATAGTGTAGTTGATGCATAGGATAGATGCTATATGCAATGTAATAGATGATACTAGATGTTGAATATGATGTAGCAGCTAGGAAATGGAAGTACATTTCAGGGGTAATTGGCGAGGACTCACCTGACATTGTTGGGGAGCTTCCTCTTCTTCTTGGTTTTACGGTTTTTCCCTTCATCTTGTGCTTTGAAACCACAAGTACTACATTTCTCCCTAGCTATGTTTGCAACTTTCCCTATTGTCCAACATTGTGACAGACTAGGTTAGTTCAATATCCAGAATTGAGGCGCATACAAGCTACCTCAACCTGTAGGGCTACCATACAGATTTCAAGACGAGGATACACCCCTGGGTATTTAAACAAGACTTTAGTCTCGAAAATTCCAAACCTTTGCATTCTAGGCTTCGCCATTCGAACTCTAGTTTCCACTGTCTTAGTTGGTCTCCTAGGAGCTCACTACAAACACAGTCAGGTGGCTATACCAAACCGATTGAATTTATTCGGGCACGACAAACACTAAAGGAATTGCGCCTTTAGAGGATTTAAGGTTTCCTAGACCTTGTGAGTGCACAAGACAGTACGGGTGAGGTGCACAAAACAGTATGCGGTGAATGAATGCACAAAACAGTGCTATGCAAGTGAATGCACAAAATGGTGCAAGTGAGGTGCACAAAATAGTGTGGTACAAGTTTGAATGCACAAAAATAGTGTAATGCAAGCTGCACAAAATAATGTGAGACAAGATAAGTGTAACAACCCGACCCTCATATATGCTTGTGATATATGTCCGTCCTTTATTCTGTGTTGTTAAATGTCTAAGATGAAACCGTACAAGAAAATAAGTTCAAGTAACTATGTTGTAATGCCCTGTGGAATGAATTGTATCTGTTAGGAACGAAATGTATCTGTTACTCCTAGAACGATCGAGTGGAAATCGAGGGCCTTAGCGGCTTAATAAGTCAAAATTGTTCACATATTTGGAACCAGCATAATTTTTAGGTAATATTAAGCACTTCTGTGAAATTTCAATTTTCGGATGTGTAAACGATTGATTTTTGTCCCATTCTCTCTCCATGGAAATATAAGAGTGTTCTTGGTCATTTGATAAGCTAAGGAAACATAACTCTAAGCTTAGGAGTTGAAGGGGTAGAGGGAGAAGATCATCAAGAAGGTTGAGATTTGGGCTAAGGTATGTAAATGTTGTCTAATTTGCATCCACAATCCTTCTTGTCATAATTTATGTGAAGATGTTTCTATAATCATGTACCTAAGAGTTGGGATTGGAGTGATGTGAGTATGAGAAGTAGTAATTAGCAAGATGATCTTACCTTGCATGTGTTGCCTCTTGAATTATTCATGAGAAACTCTACTCTATTTCTTCAATTGATTTGTTTGAATTCAAGTATGTGGCAAGATTTTTGTTATGAGTTGTGATGTGAGAACAAGTAGGAATCTTGTGAATTGGAGTAATTTAAGTTGTGGATTCATGATTGATTTTGTTTACTCAAATGAAAGATGTAACTTGATCCTTGTTCACATGTAATTACATGTTTTGAGTTTCTATATTGGTAATTTAAAGCTACATTTTTGAGGCCTAAACATGTCTATAAGAAGAAGAAAATTGTGCAGAATTTCGGACCTTTAGTGCAGAATCGCCGCACGTGCGGGAGTCACTGCCGTACATGCGGGAAAATGGCAAAATTCTGGGCTTCAACACTGCAAAAAAAGCACGTGCGGGGCCTCAATGCCGCACGTGCGGGAGGTGTGCCGCACGTGCGGGAGATCCTAGCCGCACGTGCGGCTCCAGGCAGAAAAGTTGGGATGCTCCGTTTTGCGTGTTGGGTCCTCTAATGTGGTCAAAACCTGCAATTTATATTGTTTGAATGTTCGTTAATTTGATCAAAGTAAGTGAACCGAATATTGATTTAACAAGGATGAAAAGGGACTAATGTGATTTTTCATGTGTGTAGGAAACGCCTCAAAAGGAAGTGCACCGACACAACACAGTGAGTAATAGTACTTTAATGTACCCCTACTCGGTATTTATTATTAATGACGTTGTGACCTTATAGAAGTATTATCGCATTATATATTGAGGTTATATCTCGACGTTACGAATATTACTACTAAACTTGTGATGGCATGAAACGATTGGCATGAAATGATATATTTGTTATAAGTGATTGATACAAAATTGTGAAAACGTTGAAAAAGGTTGTGAAGTTGTACACATCTATATGAAAACTTGTGACTCATGAAATGTATCAAGGCAATTATGAAATTGTGAATCAATGTGGTCTAGAGCGATTTGTGAATCAATGTGGCTTAGTGCCATTTGTGAATCAATGTGGCTTAGAGCCATTTGTGAATCAATGTGGCTTAGTGCCATTTGTGAATCAATGTGGCTTAGAGCCATTTGTGATCCAATGTGGCTTAGAGCCATTTGTGAGCCAATGTGGCTAAGAGCCCTAATGTGAAACTAAGTGACCAAGGGTTAATTGTGAATTGTGAACCAATGTGGCCAAGGGCCATTTGTGAACAATGAAATTACGAGGCCAAGGGCCGATGTGTAGAATATGAATGACACTATTGTGAGCTTGTGAATTAAACAGAATCAAAGGTCTATGTGAAGGATTGTAAATTGTGAACCCAAGGACTCTTTCCGAATGTGTGAAGTTCTTAGGCCAGGGGCCACATTATGACAAGTATAAACCGATTATGTTGTCCCAACAGGCCGTACAGAGACAGACTAATTACATGATTTCAGCATTAAATATGTTTATGCGCATGCTAGTACTATTATTCACTGAGCTTGGCTCACCCTATGTTATGTCTGTTTCTGTAGGTAATCAACCGGGAGGTCGATCTTAGATCGGCATCGTCATACTTTTGTCAGCCTAGGCATAACCAAGCTTGGGGTCGAACCCTACCTTTGTGGAGTTGTAGATGATGACTCACACTTTTGCTATTAGCTCAAGTTGTTATGTACTTAATGGTTTCGTTATATACCCCACCTCGGGGTTGGTTTTGTATATGCCTGTAAATAACTAACTCTTGAATGTATTTTGGCTTTTGATGTACTTGTCCTGTGAAATGTTTTGATCCTGGCATGATTTAGTAGCTCAATGGATGTCACATTTTCTGGTTTATCGATTTTGTTTTATAGCTTCCGGGCAGGCCCCTCTATGGAACCAGGTTAAGTGTCCTTTTCTGTGTAGGGCATGCCCAAACTTTTAGGGGCAAGTTTGGGGCGTGACAAGTGGTATCAGAGCACGAGTTGCTATCCCACACACGGATCCATTGAGCCTTAGGATGTCTAGAAAGACTCGAGTATCATGCATGGCATCCTAAGAATGTATGAAAGATCGATGGCAACGAAGTATGTACTCTACTAACGCTAACTATTTGAACTTTGTTTGCTGGATATAATTGAATGTTATGCAGGTTATGGTTAGAACCAGGATGGAAGAGTCGGACGAGGCTACCTCGGCACGGTTGGACCGAATGGAAAGAATGATTATGGACATGGCGGAGACCTTAAGGCAACAACAGCAACAACCGCCACCACCACCAGTACCTCTACCTGCAGTACAAGATGTTCATGTTGAGGACCGAACCATCACACTCACAAAGGAGTTTAAAAAGATGAAACCACCGTCATTCAAGGGGGGAATAGAGCCTATGAAAGCTGAAGCATGGGTGCTGGGAATAGAGAAATTATTCGAAGTGTTTCCATGTACTAAAGCCCAGAAAGTGCAACATGCCGCCTTTACTCTTGAAGATGAGGCGCGAAGATGGTGGATGCTTACAAGAACAGTACATCGGGACTTAACATGGGGTAGATTTCTGGAGCTGTTCTATGATAAGTATTTTCCTCAAAGCATGCGAGATAAGAAGGTGACGGAATTTGAGACTCTTAGACAAGGAAATAAGACTGTTGCAAAATATGAGGCCCAATTTGCTAAATTAGCTCGGTTTGCCCCTCATATGGTCGATACAGACTATAAGAAGGCACGGAAATTTGAAGGGGGACTGCGGGGTGCCATTTTGGACCGGGTCAATATGCTAAAATTACCCACGTATGTTAAGGTGCTAGAAAGGGCTGTTATCGCAGAAGGAAATCTTGCGGCCCAGAATCGGATTTCCGAGTGGAAAGGGAAGAGACAAAACAACCAATGGTCAAAGAGATCAGTTACTCCACCCGCTAAGAAGCACAATTCAGGGAACTTTAGCACCACTACTTCTACTCAAAATTCCACTCCGGTGTGTCCAGACTGTGGAAGGCAACATCGAGGAACCTGTCACTGGAAGACTGGAGCATGTTTTAAATGTGGGAAAACGGGGCATTTGGTGAGGGATTGCCCACAATTGGTTCAACAAAAAGGCAATAGACCCGCTACAAGTTCCGCGGGGTCTACACTAATCCCCAATGCGAAGACGGCTGCCAAACCGAGTAATAACAAAGACACTGCAAGACAAGGTAGGGTGTTCTCTTTGATTCCAGGTGATGTACAAAATATAGCAATAGTGGTGTCAGGTACATTTACTATTTGTGGTCAATCTGCGCATGTATTGTTTGATTCTGGCTCCACTCACTCTTTTGTGTCAAAATTCTTCGCTCCTAATTTAGATAAAACTGAAGAAAACTTACCTTGCATGTTGTGTGTGTCCTCCCCTTTGGGAGAGTCTATGATTTGTGCTACTATATACCTAGCTTGTGAACTTCAACTTGGGGATTTTCGGGTGTATGCTAATTTAGTGCCTCTCGATATGACCTATTTTGATGTTATTCTGGGAGTGGATTGGCTAAGTGCTTATGGTGCAACTATAAACTGTGTGACTAAGCAAATTAATTTTTATCCTTCGGGGCAATCGGCGTCTGTGGTTCAAGGGCAGGAAGTGATTTCACCACCTTACCTGATATCTGCCGTGAAGGCTTGTAACTTAATACGAAAGGGCTGTCAGGGGTATCTATGTAGCGTTTTAGAAGGGCAAGGGATGAATGGGAATATTGATGTGATTCCAGTGGTCCATGAGTTTCCGGATGTTTTTCCCGAAGAATTGCCGGGCCAACTAATAGACCGAGAAATTGAGTTTATAATTGAAGTGGCGCCCGGAACCCAACCTATCTCGAAGACACCCTATAGGATGTCACCAGCTGAAATGAAAGAGTTGAAGATTCAATTACAGGATCTGCTTGACAAGGGATTTATCCGCCCGAGTGTATCTCCTTGGGGTGCGCCAGTATTGTTTGTGAAAAAGAAGGACGGGACACTTCGGTTATGTATCGACTATAGGGAACTGAATAAGGTGACAATTAAAAATAAGTACCCCTCACCACGGATAGATGACTTATTCGATCAGTTACAAGGGGCACAAGTTTTCTCAAAAATTGATTTACGGTCTGGCTACCACCAATTGAAAGTTAAAGCTGATGATGTGGAGAAAACAGCTTTCCGAACCCGGTACGGCCATTATGAATTTTTTGGTTATGCCCTTCGGGGTTACAAACGCACCAGCAGCATTTATGGATCTAATGAATCGCGTCTTCAAGCCCTATCTAGACGAATTTGTGGTAGTTTTTATCGATGACATTCTTATATACTCGAAGAGTGCAGAAGCTCATGAGGATCATCTTCGCTTAATCCTGCAAACACTTCGGGAGAAGAGACTGTATGCAAAGTTAAAGAAATGTGAATTTTGGCTACAAGAAGTGGCATTTTTGGGGCATGTGGTGACAAAGGAAGGAGTCTCTGTTGATCCACATAAAGTGGAAGCAATTGTGAACTGGCCAACTCCCACTAATGTAACTGAGATACGAAGTTTCATGGGATTAGCTGGATATTATAGGAGGTTTGTTCAAAATTTCTCCAAAATCGCTGGGCCACTTACCCAACTGACACGCAAAGGAGTTGCATTCGAATGGTCAGAGGAACGGGAATCCGCTTTCCAAGAATTCAAAACAAGATTGACGACAGCACCAGTTCTGGCTTTGCCATCTGGTACCGAAGGATTCGTAATTTACAGTGATGCTTCGCACAAGGGGCTTGGTTGTGTGCTAATGCAAAATGGAAGAGTTATTGCCTATGCTTCTCGGCAACTGAAACCCCACGAGAAGAATTACCCCACACATGATCTCGAATTAGCGGCGGTAGTTTTTGCTTTAAAAATATGGCGGCACTATCTTTATGGTACAACTTGCGAAGTTTATACTGATCACAAAAGACTCAAGTACCTGTTTACCCAAAAAGAGTTGAACATGCGACAACGACGATGGCTCGAGTTGATTAAGGATTATGACTTGCAGATCCAATATCATCCTGGTAAAGCTAACATGGTGGCAGATGCACTTAGTCGAAAGAATATGGGGGACTTGGCAAATCTGTTAGTAGAAAGGAAGGAGTTGAGGATTGAACTAGATGAAATGAATATGGACCTAGTGGTACGTGAACAGAAGGTCATACTCGCAGCACTAAGAGCTCAACCCACCTTGCTGGAAGAGATTAAGTTACATCAACTGGAAGACGAGACTTTAAGGAAGATCTATGAAGAGTTAGAGGCAAAACCAAAATCGGGATTCAGTTACGTAGATTCGATATTAAAGTTTCAAGGCCATGTATGTGTCCCCAATGTGTTGGAGCTTAAACGGAAATTGCTAGGAGAAGCACATGTCTCGAGACTATCAATACACCCGGGAAGTACTAAAATGTACCGAAACTTAAAACAAAATTTTTGGTGGCCAAATATGAAAAAGGAGATTGCAGAATTTGTTTCTAGGTGTCTACAATGTCAACAAATAAAGGCGGAACATCAAAGACCACCAGGGTTATTACAACCCCTTCCAATTCCGGAATGGAAATGGGAACATTTGACCATGGATTTCGTGGTGGGGTTACCGAGAACTCCTCGAAGTATGAACTCAATTTGGGTCATTGTGGACCGATTAACCAAGTCTGCTCACTTCTTGCCTGTAAAGACTCAATATAATGCGGATAAGCTGGCAGTACTGTATATAAATGAAATTGTAAGGGTTCATGGTGTACCAGTGTCAATTGTGTCAGATAGAGACCCCAAGTTTGTTTCAAGATTTTGGAAAAGTTTACAGAAGGCTATGGGTACCGAACGTATGTTCAGCACCGCTTTTCACCCTCAAACTGACGGTCAATCCGAGAGAACCATACAAACTTTAGAAGATATGCTCCGACTGTGTGTGTTGGATTTTCAAGAAAGCTGGGAAACCCATCTACCGTTGATAGAGTTCGCCTACAATAACAGTTACCATTCGAGCATTGAGATGGCACCATATGAAGCTCTGTATGGAAGACCGTGTCGTTCCCCTGTATGTTGGGCTAAAGTCGGAGATAGGGCATTGTTGGGTCCTGAAATTGTACAATTAACAACTGAAAAGGTTAAAATTATCCGGGAGAGGTTAAAAACGGCACAAAGCAGGCAGAAGAGCTGTGCAGATAACAGACGAAGGGATTTGGAATTTGAAGTGGGTAATTACGTGTTCGTGAAAGTCACCCCGTTAAAGGGACATCCGAGGTTTGGGAAGAAGGGTAAATTAACGCCCCGGTATGTTGGCCTTTCCAAATTCTAGAAAGAGTGGGTTTGGTAGCTTACCGAGTGGCTCTTCCACCGAGTATGAGTCAAATACATAATGTGTTCCATGTTTCTATGCTTCGAGGATACCTATCAGATCCATCTCATGTCATAGACCCTCACCAACTTGTGCTAGATGATAAGTTAAGCTATGAAGAAAGACCACTTCGAATTTTGGAGCGACAAGTAAAGCAATTGCGCAATCGGGAAATTCCAATGGTAAAGGTAGAGTGGCAAGAACATTATGGCACTGAAGCTACTTGGGAAAAAGAGGAGGACATGCAGCAACAGTACCCCTATCTATTTCCGTTTTGAGGTAAAAGCAAGTTTGAGGGACCAAACTTTTTTTTTAGGGGGGGAGAGTGTAACAACCCGACCCTCATATATGCTTGTGATATATGTCCATCCTTTATTCTGTGTTGTTAAATGTCTAAGATGAAACTGTACAAGAAAATAAGTTCAAGTAACTATGTTGTAATGCCCTGTGGAATGAATTGTATCTGTTAGGAAAGAAATGTATCTGTTACTCCTAGAACGATCGAGTGGAAATCGAGGGCCTTAGCGGCTTAATAAGTCAAAATTGTTCACATATTTGGAACCAGCATAATTTTTAGGTAATATTAAGCACTTCTGTGAAATTTCAATTTTCGGATGTGTAAACGATTGATTTTTGTCCCATTCTCTCTCCATGGAAATATAAGAGTGTTCTTGGACATTTGATAAGCTAAGGAAACATAACTCTAAGCTTAGGAGTTGAAGGGGTAGAGGGAGAAGATCATCAAGAAGGTTGAGACCTTATAGAAGTATTATCGCATTATATATTGAGGTTATATCTTGACGTTACGAATATTACTACTAAACTTGTGATGGCATGAAACGATTGGCATGAAATGATATATTTGTTATAAGTGATTGATACGAAATTGTGAAAACGTTGAAAAAGGTTGTGAAGTTGTACACATCTATGTGAAAACTTGTGACTCATGAAATGTATCAAGGCAATTATGAAATTGTGAATCAATGTGGTCTAGAGCGATTTGTGAATCAATGTGGCTTAGTGCCATTTGTGAATCAATGTGGCTTAGAGCCATTTGTGAATCAATGTGGCTTAGTGCCATTTGTGAATCAATGTGGCTTAGAGCCATTTGTGAACCAATGTGGCTTAGAGCCATTTGTGAGCCAATGTGGCTAAGAGCCCTAATGTGAAACTAAGTGACCAAGGGTTAATTGTGAATTGTGAACAAATGTGGCCAAGGGCCATTTGTGAACAATGAAATTACGAGGCCAAGGGCCGATGGGTAAAATATGAATGACACTATTGTGAGCTTGTGAATTAAACAGAACCAAAGGTTTATGTGAAGGATTGTAAATTGTGAACCCAAGGACTCTTTCCGAATGTGTGAAGTTCCTAGGCCAAGGGCCACATTATGACAAGTATAAACCGATTATGTTGTCCCAACAGGCCGTAGAGAGACAGACTAATTACATGATTTCAGCATTAAATATGTTTATGCGCATGCTAGTACTATTATTCACTGAGCTTGGCTCACCCTATGTTATGTCTGTTTCTGTAGGTAATCAACCGGGAGGTCGATCTTAGCTCGGCATCGTCATACTTTTGTCAGCCTAGGCACAGCCAAGCTTGGGGTCGAACCCTACCTTTGTGGAGTTGTAGATGATGACTCACACTTTTGCTATTAGCTCAAGTTGTTATGTACTTAATGGTTTCGTTGTATACCCCACCTAGGGGTTGGTTTTGTATATGCCTGTAAATAACTAACTCTTGAATGTATTTTGGCTTTTGATGTACTTGTCCTGTGAAATGTTTTGATCCTGGCATGATTTAGTAGCTCAATGGATGTCACATTTTCTGGTCCATCGATTTTGTTTTATAGCTTCCGGGCAGGCCCCTCTATGGAACCAGGTTAAGTGTCCTTTTCGGTGTAGGTCATGCCCAAACTTTTAGGGGCACGTTTGGGGCGTGATAATAAGTGCACAAGACAGTGCGATGCAGGTGCACAAAACAATGTGAGACAAGATGAATGCACAAGACAGTGCGATGCACGGTGAATGCACAAGACAGTGCGATGCACGGTGAATGCACAAGACAGTGCGAACTCAAGGTGAATGCACAAGATAGTGCGATGTAAGGTGCACAAAACAGTGTGAACTCTAGGTGAATGCACAAAATAGTGCGATACAAAGTGCACAAAGCAATGCGGTACAAGGTGAATGCACAAAACAGTGCAATCTCAAGGTGCACAAAATAGTGCGATACAAAGTGCACAAAACAGTGCGAACTTAAAGTGTAATGACCACAAAGTGCGTAGAGAAGGTTATCCTTATTTAATTAGGGGATTAATGTGTTTTCCATTGGAATTGAAGAACTATCCATTGAGTTATGTCTTTGAAACTGGAGTTGGTGACCTTTACCAAACAATTTGAAAATTTTTCCCTTCGCTCGAGCGGAGTAGTTGGCGCTTGAGCATACTTTCGGGGTTCCCAGCAAATTTTGCAGACGGCTTGAGATTCTGGGAGTTGTGATTTCCCGCTCGAGCGGTGGAGTTGACGCTCGAGCAGACATCTTTGTTGGCCTTCGCGCTCGAGCGCAGGGTTGGGCGCTCGAGCGGGTCTCCAGGTTGAGTTGTATTTCTGAGGCACGTGGGTTCGTTTTGGACATTTTATTAGTGTACTTAGAACCTTCTTATGTTATTTTGGAGTATGGGTTGAGGTGGTAAAATGAAGGTAAGATAGGATGGAACCAAAAGCTTTAATTTGAATGATTCGTCTACGATCAGCCGCCACGCTTTTGCCCTTTTCTTTTTCCACACTTTGAATTTGGATGTGAGGTTAGAACCGTTGGAAAGCTTATTTCTGGGGCTTCAATTTGGACACAAGAACGACCTAAAACGGAGTCTGGATGGGAGAGTTACACCTGTTCAAAGTTTCAAAATCTGTGCTGGGTGCAAGTCCGCTCGAGCGGGAATAGGGACGCTCGAGCGGGTTTTACGGGCCAGCAGCTTTAAAAACGGGATTTTGAGATCATTTCTTACATTTTCCTTTCCCCTCTTCTTTCCTCCGTCCTAGGACCGAAAAACCTTAGGTCCTTGATCCTCAATACCTTCCATTTCCCTTAGTTTTGATCTAGATTACCCATCAAGAAGTGAAGAAGCTTGAAGATTATCGTGTTCTACCGATTGGAATTTCGAAATGGTAGAGGAATCTCATCCAAGCTCACTCCTTTGTTTGTTCCTCGAGGTAGGGGTTCTAGATCTCCTCAATATTTACATCTATGGATGGATTTATGGTAATTTCAGTATATGAAGGAAAAGATCTTCATTTTTTTTATCATCTAGAGCATATTATGAGATTTGGGGATTTAGAATTTGAGATGTTGGAAGTTAAATTGCTGGGTTAAAATGATGGATTGTGAACCCTAGATGTAGAATCATTGGGAAAATTGGAATTAAAAGTGGTGATTTAAGAAGTTTGAAATTTTGTTAAAAATCCTCATTTTTCTTGAAATCCTAGGTTGATTGATGATGATAACCAATGAATTGGCCCAAATTGAAATTAGAATTATGAAATTGAGGTATTAAATTATATATGTACAAATTTAATTGAATTTTAGAGATGTTTGAAAATGGAGTTTAAAATTTACGAATGAACCTTAATTATGGACATTGTGAACCATGCTATTGTGTGAGATGAAAATTGGGGAACAAGATTATTAATGTTATGGATGATAAGAGCCTTGGGAAGAATTGATGAAATGGGATTTAAGACTTCACCTTGAAAGATGTTGAATTATATTTAGGGGTGATAAGTTGAATCATGCCAAATGGTGTAGCTTATGTTGGATTGTGTTGAGATATGTATGGAAAAGTATGTTGAGTTAATGATGTGAATTGCAAATTGATGTGTACTTGTGAATTGTGTAGGGCTAGCTACAGGGGCAGACCAAGCATCTAAACACTGTGAGTAATAGTACCTCAACCGTACGTTATTTACCATTAATCATTATTGTTACTGACATTTTCTTCTCTCTGAGCAAATATGTCAACATGTGTGTTGGTTGGGAATCAAAGTGGGCATTGAAAGAATTAGCACACAACAAAATGACTCTGAAACCATTCAGTATTCCGACTACGTTTATCATTTATCGGTAATGTGCCATAACTTATAAATTATCGGTGATTCCGCATAAGAATTGTACTCATGGAATTAAACCCCGTTTATCGGGAAATTGATATTGACTTCTGTTTGATTTAATGTATGTTTTGTGACATAGATATTCGTCTAAAGGGATTAAAGGACAATATTAATGTTTGTTATCCATAAATTAATCTTAAGGATGTGCGATAATTAAATAGAATAATGATGCT